GCATGCGTAATACTATTGTCTTTTGCAGCTGAAGATCGTAAATCGTATTGGAATGGCTGCATCAAGGCTGCGAAAGTGAATTGTCAGCAGATTTTCTCAATTTTGGCGCTAATAATTGTACTTTTAAAATTCCTTTTAAAAAGTGCTTCAAAATTGTCTTTATGTCGCTTTGGCGTCGAGATCCGGTTTTGGAGCTGCAATTTCCGACGCCATTGCACGTAGTTCTATTGTGTTTTGCAACTCAGTCTCTGCAGATGGCATTGTAGTGGCTGCGTCAAGGTTGCTTGGTGCAGCGGCTGCATGCGTAATACTATTGTCTTTTGCAGCTGAAGATCGTAAATCGTATTGGAGTGGCTGCACCCAGGCTGCGAAAAAGTTGAGTATGATTTGGTCAGCAGATTTCTTCAATTTTGCGCTGTCTTTTTGTCGCTTTGGCGTCGAGATCCGGTTTTGGAGCTGCAATTTCCGACGCCATTGCACGTAGTTCTATTGTGTTTTGCAACTCAGTCTCTGCAGATCGCATTGGAGTGGCTGCGTCAAGGTTGCTTGGTGCAGCGGCTGCATGCGTAATACTATTGTCTTTTGCAGCTGAAGATTGTAAATCGTATTGGAGTGGCTGCATCCAGGCTGCGATAGTCATTTGTCAGCAGATTTTCCCAATTTTGGCGCTAACAATTTTCCTTTTAAAATTCTTTTTAAAAAGTGCTTCAAAATCGTCTTTTTTTCGCTTTGGCGTCGAGATCCGGTTTTGGAGCTGCAATTTCCGACGCCATTGCACGTAGTTCTATTGTGTTTTGCAACTCAGTCTCTGCAGATCGCATTGTAGTGGCTGCGTCAAGGTTGCTTGGTGCAGCGGCTGCATGCGTAATACTATTGTCTTTTGCAGCTGGAGATCGTAAATCGTATTGGAATGGCTGCATCAAGGCTGCGAAAGTGATTTGTCAGCAGATTTTCTCAATTTCGGCGCTAATAATTTTCCTTTTAAAATTCCTTTTAAAAAGTGCTTCAAAATCGTCTTTTTGTCGCTTTGGCGTCGAGATCCAGTTTTGGAGCTGCAATTCCTGTTGTGATTATGTACAAGAAAGCTTCTCTGTGCAAAAAAATTTTCTGTAAAAGCGTGCTGTGTGTAAAAGCTTCTCTTTGTGTAAAAGCGTCTCTGTGTAAAAGTTTCTGTGTGTGTAAACGCTTGCCATGTGTAAAAGCACTGTGCGTAAGTGTTCTGTGTGTAAACGCTTGCTGTGTGTGAAAGCTTGCTGTGTGTAAAAGCTTCTGTGTGTAAAAGCTTGTTGTGTGTAAAAGCTTCTCTGTTTAAAAAGCTTGCTGTGTGTGTAAACGCTTGCCATGTGTAAAAGCACTGGTGTAAGTGTTCTGTGTGTAAACGCCCGCTGTGTGTGAAAGCTTGCTGTGTGTAAAAGCCTCTCTGTGAAGAAGCTTGCTGTGTGTGAAAGCTTGCTGTGTAAAGCTTCTCTGTGTAAAAGCTTGTTGTGTGTAAAAGCTTCTCTGTTTAAAAAGCTTGCTGTGTGTGTAAACGCTTGCCATGTGTAAAAGCACTGTGTGTAAGTGTTCTGTGTGTAAACGCTTGCTGTGTTTGAAAGCTTGCTGTGTGAAAAAGATTTTGTGTGTAAAAGCTTGCTGTGTGTAAAAGCCTCTCTGTGTGTAAAAGTGTGCAAAAGTTTCTGTGTGTAAACGCTTGCCATGTGTAAAAGCACTGTTTGTAAGTGTTCTGTGTGTAAACGCTTGCTGTGTGTGAAAGCTTCTCTGTGAAGAAGCTTGTTGTGTGTAAAAGCTTCTGTGTGTAAAAGCTTCTCTGCTTGAAAAGCTTGCTGTGTGTAAAAGCTTCTCTGCGAAAGAACTTGATGTGTGTAGAAGCTTTGTAGTACAAAGTAGTACTGGAACGTGTTTTGTGCAAGCTTTGTAATACAAAGTAGTACTGGGAAGTAGTTTGTGCAAGCTTTGTAGTACAAAGTAGTACTGGGGAGTGCTCTGTGCAAGCTTTGTAGTGCAAAGTAGTACTGGGAAGTAGTTTGTGCAAGCTTTGTAGTACAAAGTAGTACTGGGAAGTAGTTTGTGCAAGCTTTGTAGTACAAAGTAGTACTGGGGAGTGTTTTGTGCAAGCTATGTAGTACAAAGTAGTACTGGGAAGTGGTTTTTGCAAGCTCTTGTATTAGACATCAGTACTGGGAAGTACTTGACATAAAAATAGCCAAGAAGAACTTAGCTGACATATGGGAAGGCATGGGATGAGATGAGAAGAGCTCAGATGAGATGAGTTGAGACGAAGTGCAAGTGTGAAGTGTGGAGTGTGGGGTGTGAAGAGTGCAATGTGAAGTGTGAGGAAAGTGTTTGCATTGTACCGGGGACGCGTGCAGGTCATGTTCTTGGACAACAACATTGCAACAGCTTTGCACAAAGCACGCACGCACAGGCCTGGCTGGCGCACTGCGCATGCAAGTTCCTTTCTAGTAGTATTGGGAAGTCATTCATGAAAGCTTAGATGACATATGAGAAGAGATGAGATGAGAAGAGCTGAGCTGGGATAAGGTGCGAAGAGCTCAGATGAGATGAAGTGTGGGGTGTGAAGAGTGCAGTGTGAAGTGTTAAGTGTGAAGTTTGGAGTGTGAAGGAAGCAGTGAGAAGTGAGAAGTGTGAAGTGTGGACTGTGAAGTGTGAAGTTTGGAGTGCGAAGAGTGCAGTGTGAAGTGTGAAGTGTGGAGTGTGAAGTGTGGAGTGTGAAGTGTGAAGTGTGAAGTGTGGAGTCTTAAGAGTACAGTGTGAAGTGAAGTGTTGACTGCGAAGGGTGCAGTGTGAAGAGTGCAGTGTGAAGGGTGGAGTGTGAAGTGTGCAGTGTGGAGTGCGAAGACTGCAGTGAGAAGTGCGAAGTGCGAAGTGGAGCTTCAAATGTGACATGTGAAACAAGACACCACTTTCGCAGAGTGCACGCACGCACGGGCTTGGCTGGCGCACGGCGCATGCAAGTTCTATAGATGAGAAAGGTCTTATATATATCTTTAAGGCAACTTCCGCCCCGCCTCGTTCGGGTACTACTGGTAGTAGGTAGTAGTAGGTAGTAGTAGGTAGTAGTAGGTAGTAGTAGGTAGTAGTAGGTAGTGGTAGGTAGTAGTAGGTAGTAGTAGGTAGTAGTAGGTAGTAGGTGGTAGTAGTAGTAGTAGTAGTTAGTAGTAGTTAGTAGTAGTTAGTAGTAGTTAGTAGTTAGTAGTAGTTAGTAGTAGTGAGTAGTAGTTAGTAGTAGTTAGTAGTAGTTAGTAGTAGTGAGTAGTAGTGAGTAGTAGTTAGTAGTAGTTAGTAGTAGTTAGTAGTAGTTAGTAGTAGTTAGTAGTAGTTAGTAGTAGTTAGTAGTGGTAGGTAGTAGTAGGTAGTAGTAGGTAGTAGTAGGTAGTAGTAGGTAGTAGTAGGTAGTAGTAGGTACTAGTAGGTACTAGTAGGTACTAGTAGGTACTAGTAGGTACTAGTAGGTACTAGTAGGTACTAGTAGGTACTAGTAGGTACTAGTAGGTAGTAGTAGGTAGTAGTAGGTAGTGGTAGGTAGTGGTAGGTAGTGGTAGGTAGTAGTAGGTAGTAGTAGGTAGTAGTAGGTAGTAGTAGGTAGTAGGTAGTAGGTGGTAGTAGTAGTAGTAGTAGTAGGTAGTAGGTAGTAGGTAGTAGGGTGGTGGTGGTGGTGGTGGTGGTGGTGGTCGTCGTAGTAGTAGTAGTAGTAGCAGTAGTAGTAGTATAGTCCGTCGTCGTAGCAGCAATAGTAGTAGTCGTAGTAGTAGTCGTAGTAGTAGTCGTGGTAGTAGTAGTGGTAGTAGTAATGGTAGTTTGCGATTTCTCCACTCCATCTGTCTAAAGTACTGCGCCTGCCACGAAAAAGTGAAGCCAAATCATACGAAGTGCTGCACCTGTTACACAAAATCATCTTCCCAAACCTGAAGATCTGATGCTCCAAAATGCAGCCCCTCTCAGGAAATCAGCGCCCTGACCTCCTAACATCTCTGGTGAACATGTCTGCCAGGCGCAAGCAACTTTGCAGATCCTCTTCAAATCTCCCACACCTACCGTCGCTTTTGAAACTGCTACAAAACTCTCACGTTTAGTTTTGCTCACTTTTGACAAGGTGCACAATCCCTTGCGCCTATCACGCGAAACGAAATCTGAACGTTCAAAAGTGGTCAGAACATGTGGTGCTTTTAACATGTTGACTTGGATATGTGCTTCGCGCCACAAGGGCGTGCACTTTTTCGACATCTCAACCTCCAAAAATGCTCTGAGCATGCGGTGCTTTGCACATTTTGACTTCGAAAATGTGCTTCACGCAACAACTACGTGCACTTTTTGAACATCTCAACTTCCAAAAGTGCTCCGGTGTTGGTGTCTTTTGTATATTTTGGCTTGGAAATGTGCTTCGCGCCACAACGGCGTGAAACTGTTCATCTCTCATCTGCCCAAATGGCTCCGCACCCGCCGCTTTAGGGAGCCTACTTTTCGACCCTTCGGAGCCACAAAACATTGGAAAAACACAGTGTTTCGCCACTTTTCTACCTTTTCGCGCACCTGCATCTTCTTTCTTCTGACGCCGTCTCTTCTCTGATCTTCTTTCTTCTTCGCTTCTCTTCTCTGACTCTTCCCACCTCTGCTTTCCATCTGTCCATATTGTCGGAAGTTTGACTTCTAATTTTCCTTCGATTATATCGTTATATATATATTGTTTAATCCAGTCAGAAGTTAGTCCATGTCAATATTGTCAATCGCCACTCCAAATCCTATAGGGATTCCGCACAGATTCCTCACATGTCATCCATCGGACCTCACCTATCTGGGGATCGATCATTACAGTATCCACCATGGTTTCAACTGATGCTTCGTACCCCAAGAGATCGTGGATCAAAACCCTGGTGCTCTGGTGAATATCAAAATGACTACTACATGGATGTTTATCTAACCCAAAATAACCAAATAAAATATGGAAACCCTTCCAAATGCCTGCGTCGACGCGCGGTCTCCTTCACACGCTTCACCATGGATACTTCGCACTCGCGGACCCATTTGCGCGGGTCGTAGAAGCCTCAGTGGAAAAAAGCATCTGCGACGCGCACCTGGAAAGTCGGAAAAAATCGCCCTATGGAAAATGATGTTCTCACTGAATAAATGGGTGGATTTCCACTTCCATAGTTCTTTCAAACAAAGTAAAATTATGGAGCCAAACATTTTAGTATCTTCCGCTATTGAAATCCCATTGCGCTGCTATAGCAAGAAAACAAATGGTATGGAAAGGTTCCAATTTGCGACGTATGTAATCATGTGATGCCACATGTAGCTTTGCAGGCTTTGCCTACTTAGTGACCAGTGGCATCCCAGCAAAGATTTCTACAAGCTCTTGACTAGGGCCCCTCTCCGAGATTCTTTCCCCTGGTAATCCCCTCTTCCCTTTACTAAACAGCCCCCCAATTGTTAAAACTACTAGAGATTGTCATGTTTGGTAAACTTCAGGTTGGCCCATGCGATTTAAGACACTTATCCCGTTTACACAACAAACTAAAATTCAAGGTGCCGTTTTAAGGTTGGTTGGGGGCGGCTTATTATTAGGGTCCCTGACAACTTTTTTGTTGCAATAGTTTATAAAGATTCAAAAAGGGGTGTTATCCATGTTGAAATGAAACATGTCGATCTTTTATACAGGTTTCGATTATAAGGGGAAAGCTTCCAAATACAACTTTTTGCGATAGTTTCCAGAGATTCTAAACAAGGATTTGGTCGATTTTCAAAGGGAACATGTTGTTTTTTGATTTAGTAGGGTGAAGCTTCGAACGCCAAATTCTTGGCAATATTTTAAGCAGATTTGGAGAAGTGATTTGATCGATTTTGAAATCTTCCCCTTAAGGGGTTTGGATTGTATTATTAGGAAGAAGTTTCTCAGCCTAAATGCTAAATACCCCCAATAACAAAATTTTAAAACTACCCCTGGGGGGACGTTTAGTAGTAGGGAGAAGATTTATTTGGATTGGAACATTGACTTATTGTTGGTCCTCCTCAGCGACTTTTTGCTGGACCACTTTTGTGCCTGACGTTCTTCAAGCAGCTCTTGTTTGGCTTGTCCTCTCCTTCTGGGTTGCCAATCTGGCCCTGCAGGTAGCCTCGGTGGTAGCGGCCAGGTCAAGCTGTTGTACGGGACACCGCTTGGCGGGTTGGGGTCCAGCCAGAAGTAGAACGTGCCAGCTGAGAAAGACGCCCTCCTTGTTCTTGTAGAACTTCAACAGGCCTTCCCAGTAGGCCCACTGCCTTGGCTTCTGCTTGAGCTTAGCATAGCATCTCTCAATGCCTCTCATGATCTTTGCCAGGGTCCTCACGTGTCGGTGTCCACGTTCATCTTCACCACTCCGGCATTCAGGGCCTGCAACATGCACTCGTGCTGCAGTCTCCAGACCCAAACGCAAGCACATAAAGATCAAACAAGAACAATTTTGTTAGACATTCTACGTTGCAAGCTGCCAATCCCTTGGGCATGACACCGTTGTAATGTGGTGCTTCTCGGATCCAGAGCCACCGTGGAACACAAAGTTCAGAGGCCTCGAGGGTATTGAATGGGATTGACATGGATTGACACACGTACATGCAAGATAGCGCTGCAGGATGCTGCACGAACTTTATCCTCCGGCATCTGGGACTGGAATCCATGATCCAAAGCACACAATGTTGCGCCTCTCGATGTCCTTGCCGGTGGATGCCTTGATCTGCTCGCGGGCGTAGTCTTGCATCTCCTTTCAACACATTCAATCGGAGTTACAAAGCTTTCCAGAAACTTGGATTGGATCATGTCTCGAAAAAAACGGAACGACTTTGATTTTGAAAAGTATCCACTTCATCCATGTTCGATGTGAAGAATCTGGGGCGGTCCTGCAGAATCTCGGGCTTCAGCACCACGTTTCCAGCCTTGTAGACACCGTGGACGTTGCCGAAGGCTGCAGCGATGGTGAACCTGACGCAAGGGTCATTGAACAAAAGGAGAAAAACGTGAGTTTGTTTGAAAATAGGGCCGGCCCCACACCTCATGTTTGATCATGTTTTTTCGTCTTTTTCCCTGTTCGAATTGCCATTTTGGGAGGCCCCCAAAATCAATCGCAGCTCTAGGGCCCGCACATATGAGAAATTGGGTTGAGGCCCTTGTAGACATTGAACACGTCTTCCGGAGTGGAGTACAGTTTTTCCTTGGCAGCTCCGCTGTTGTCAACACCATCTTCCACGCCACCGGTGATGCCAATCTCCATTTCCTGAGTGATGCGGGTCTCATATGTGCCCGGGGTACCTTCTGATAGCCAACACTGTTCATGGCAAGTTGAAGTTCAAGCTGAGTTTCCAAAATCTGTTTCATTGGTGCCATGCGCTTCAAGTACCTCGCAAATAGTGACAGGTCTGCACAGAAATGATGACATTGAACAGATGCGAGGCACTTGGCGCAAATCTCAATGTTCTCCTCATCTGGTTCCTCAGACCTCGATTCAATGGGTCTGTAGGGTGACAAGTCGAACCACGTATTTACACATTCGAACAAGAAAACACCTCTTGAGATGTTTTCTGCTCAACAGTGACTGTGAAAGTAGCGACATTGCAGATGCAGTCAGATAAGGTGATTGAGCGCACTGCAAATCCAACATGTGGGAAGAGAATAGCGGCTCTCCATGCTCCTTGAAGTATGCCTCGTCAGCCTCCAACATGCCTCAGATCGCAGGCACAAGCCTCGTTCCGAGTTTCAAAAAATAAAATACATCGCCAGTCAAGGCCGCCTTGGGCCGTGGTCAAAAATGCACAATACATCCAAAAGAATCCAAGAAGATAGGACAAAAGCTGAGGTCAAAGCCATCGAACCATGGCAGCAGTTTTTTGGCGCAGTGGTCGGAGTGAACCAAGACCTGGCACAGCTCGCCCCGCTTGTGGCTGTGAGTTTCGCAGGCCTACAACCATCTACACACATATGTCAAAGGTGTTGAAAAGCAATAACCATAAAAATGAGAATGACAGCAGCAGCAGAAGCAGCAGCAACAGCAGGTGGAGGAGGAGGGGAGGTATAGTAGTAGTAGTAGTAGTAGTAGTAGTAGTAGTAGTAGTAGTAGTAGTAGTAGTAGTGGTAGTAGTGGTAGTAGTGGTAGTAGTGGTAGTAGTGGTATAGGTAGTAGGTAGTAGGTAGTAGGTAGTAGGTAGTAGGTAGTAGGTAGTAGGTAGTAGGTAGTAGGTAGTAGGTAGTAGGTAGTAGGTAGTAGGTAGTAGGTAGTAGGTAGTAGGAGGTAGTAGGAGGTAGTAGGAGGTAGTAGGAGGTAGTAGGAGGTAGTAGGAGGTAGTAGGAGGTAGTAGGAGGTAGTAGGAGGTAGGAGGTAGTAGGAGGTAGTAGGAGGTAGTAGGAGGTAGTAGGAGGTAGTAGTAGGTAGTAGTAGGTAGTAGTAGGTAGTAGTAGGTAGTAGTAGGTAGTAGTAGTTAGTAGTAGGTAGTAGTAGGTAGTAGTAGGTAGTAGTAGGTAGTAGTAGGTAGTAGTAGGTAGTAGTAGGTAGTAGTAGGTAGTAGTAGGTAGTAGTAGGTAGTAGTAGGTAGTAGTAGGTAGTAGTAGGTAGTAGTGGTAGTAGTGGTAGTAGTGGTAGTAGTAGGTAGTAGTAGGTAGTAGTAGGTAGTAGTAGGTA